CATATCTTCCCTTCCTAGTTGCTGAGTGGCTCAGGTTGAAGAGGAGAGATGGAGTTTGTTTTCAGCACTACTAGCCCATGTCCTGTTGGGAAGACTGTTTTCCCAGGAAGCAGCAGAATGTGGGTTCAAATTCCCTCTGGGTTTTGATGCACTAGAATTTGGGTATCCCTGCATCTGCAATAAATGCTAAGTTGTTATACTAAAAGGTAGAAAGGGCCCCCTCTTTTTGCTCTTAACTAGTTGCCATTCATTTCTGACCACACTTTTGGAAACTTGCTCAGTAGGGAAGCACAGATCAGGGGTCACTTGTAGGTGGACTTAGAATATCTGTATAGGTGCAAAAAATAGTACGTAGATAGCAGCATTTGGATACATAAGTGGCAATGAGGCATGTACAGGTGAAATAGGATTTGGCCATAAGTGTCTGCCCTGCATTGAACAAAACTTACCAACCAAAACATAGAAAATAAAATGTGAGTGCATGCACATTGGTGATGTATTTTCCTATCTTGGGAGTATTAATGTGAAGCTTGAGAGCAGCTGTGGTTTCATAGGAAACTCCAAACTCTTCCATTTAATGTTTTCTGTCTCTTTGAAGTTCTTTATTGTGGCCACCCTCTCACCCAGGTAGCCAGAGAAACACTTGAAACAGTTGGAATGCTTTTGAATGACCCTTTTGAGTAGAAACTTTTATGTGGGTTTCATTATTTCAGAGTAATAGAGATTATGTACAGGCTGCTGGAGCCAGATCTTTACAAAACTATCTCAGGCTGTATTGTGAAAAAAAAATCTGTTTGGAAGGGTTTTGTGTGAATGTAAGTGTTGTGTATATTTATTTTGAATGACATTACATTGAATTCTTCATCTGCAGACACAGCAGCATCAGCTTAGCTGGGATAGCATTTCATCTAGCAAAGCCTGCAGAGCGCAGTTGTGCAATACTTCGGCTATTTGACCTAGAAAGTTAATCAAACTGAAATTAAAGTGGGGTTAACTATGCATTCCTTACCCTGAGCACATATGTCTTACAGACAGGCCTTATGGTTTTGGTATACATGTTTTCAGGGAAAGGCATACTGAGAAACCTTGGATGCGTTTCAAGGAATGAGGCGGGTGGCAGAGTTTGTATATGTGGTGGGGCTTGATCTGGCTCTTGCTGTTGTGTAAAGTTCACTTTGGCAGCTGAAAGATGCAGAGAGAAGCACTCTCAGAATTAGAGACAGTGAGGTAATGAGAAAGTGACAGAAAAAGAAGTGGGGGGGGAGGCAGGGCCAAGTTAAAAATTAACTTTGACATCATCTGATAGATTTTCCAGCCTGCATGACAGCTATTTTTACATCTCCAGCTCACTGCATTCCAAGCTCAGTTTGTCAAGAAGTGACAGCCAACTGGCTGAAAGTGGGGGCGGTGGTATATCCCAGGGTGGGTTGGGGGCTGCAGAGCTGTTCTCTAGATGGGCAAGGATCCAGATTCCCAGGACTGTCTACTCTTCTTGTCTTGTTTTTTTCCTGCAAGAATACACAACAGTGGGCTATCTTCACTTCCTTTGTCATGGCTAGGAATTTCTTGAGCTGGTCACAGTAGTTTTTGCCAGCTTGTTGGAAGCATCAGAAAACATAAACTTCAGGTTTTTTCTGATAATTGTAGAGGCAAGAATGCAGAGGACTCCCAACTTAGTTTCTCTAGCTCTTTCTTAAGGCTCTTATTGCTAGGAGGCAGGATCCTGGAAATATCTGTTAACTCCCATTTATGTAATGCAGTCCCTACTGGGTGGAAAGAAGAGCCATGTTCATCAAAGTGATATTCCTGCTTACTTCAATCATCTTATTTTTTATCATCCCCTTCTACATTTTAGAGTGACCTAGATTTAGCATTTTAGTATCCTCCCTTTGTGCTCAAGAGAAAAATGGCTAAGTTTAGGTAGCAGGTTTATGGTCCTCAGTAAGGGTTAATCTGAGTGGAAGCTGACCACACCTTTACTTTTGATATCATGAGCATTTGCCAGCGTTCAGTGATGCCTGGTTGGGACTTCATGCTTAAGCAGACACACAGATCCCTGCACACATTATGTTTTGAGTATGAATTTTGTCATAGCCAATGGGGAGAAAAAGATGAGAGCCCACTGTGGAAAAGTGAGGGGTGAAAAAGGAAAAAGCAAAAGGGTATGGCCTTGTAAAAGCCAAGGCTCCAAGCAAGGGAGCAAGGCATGAGCACAGGGGTATGCTGATGGTGCAGTTTCAGGATTCAGACCTAAATTAAGGGTTTTTCATTATTCCAAACCTGTCTTTGGGAAAAGAAAGCAAACTGGAGCTGGTCAGTGGGTTCATAGATTTCATAGACATTAGGACTGGAAGGGACCTCACGAGATCATTGGGTCCAGCCCCCTGCCCAAGGGGCAGGGAGTGAGCTGGGGGCAGAACACCCCAGCAAAATAAGTATCCATGTATTTCTTAAAGGTATCCAGAGTAGGTGCTTGCACCACTTCTGGGGGGACTCTATTCCAGACTCTGGAGACTCAGATGGTAAAAGTTTTTCCTTATATCCAATCTAAAACAGTCTTCCAGGAATGGTTTTCCTGCTTGGTTTATCTGTGATTCTCTTGTGAACCCTTCCCAACTTTTCTACAACTTTGTTAAAGTGCTGACACCTCAACTGGATGCAGTATTTTGTTGCTGGTGTCACCAGTGTTATAGGAGAGGGTAAAGTCTCTACTCCTATCCACTTTTCCCACTATACGCATCTAAGGATCAAACAGAATTCAGAGTGGACAAGAGAATTTAAGACCCTTAAATTCTTTTAAGAAGCACTGCTTTTCAGATACTATCTCTTGCTTTCTCTGTAATGATCATGGCTTTTTAGTTAAGCAATGGACTCCTCTTAAAGAATGCTCTTGAAAGAGTTACCTCATGTAAGGTACAGAGTCTTCTATACTACAAAGTGATCTTTAATTTTAGAAATTATTGATTTTTATTACTGGCTACATAAGATCTTTATCCTGGATTCAAGTCCCCCACAACAATACAATTTCCCCCCCCACACACAAGCACTTAAGGAACATTTGATCCTTGTCTCCCTCTTAATTCAGTCATTATGACAGACCTCCACTAAGGTCACCTGAGTCTATAGCTCTAGTTGAAAAATGAATTAGATCCAGTCTGGATCTTGCTTTATTTGGTTTCTTAAAAATCACTTTTCTAGAAAACTGCCCCTAATGCAACTTAAATACAGATCTTTGCAAGTTCTTAACTTTGTTATTCATGAAACGGATAGACTGCTACTGAAAAAGGGAGGGGGAGAAAAAGCTTAAAGACTATATTCAAAAGAATAGAGAGACAGTGGTAATAACTTTCATTTCTTTAGGTATGTGTGTGGCTCCCAATGTGGTGTGTGTGTGTGTGTACTCAGGTGTATGACCTCTGTCCTGTGAACAACAGTGCCCATGACATCCAGACATGGCCCCTCTGTGCTCTAGCGCTTCTGTACAAGGATACCAAAGGGCTGAGCAGCCACAAGCTTCCCTCAAGTCTCCATCACCACCTGTGGCAGTGATCTGGAATATAAACTGTGTCCCTGTTTCTTGAGTATGAAACTCAAGTCTTTTTGTAAAGACGATTCTTTTTGCTCAGTATTTTTATTTATTAACTCTTTAGATTTCCAAAGGGAAAAAAAGTCCTGAGGAGACTCAGGGTGAAGCGCTTTGTGCCTGCTGGTTTCTGAACCCCCACTGTTTAAATTCTGTCCTTCATGCAGTGAGTTTGTACCATTTATTGATGGGCAAAGCAGATGTCTTCTGTGCCTTAAGGACGTGTTCCTGCAAGATCCTTTTCATCCTGGACTTGAAAATGGAGAGGTGGGAAGTTCAAGTTACATCTCTTGGAACAGGCTGTGAAAGTTATGTCTGATACTGGAGAAGAGACATTTTCCAAGGCAGACTGAAGTGGCTGTCCACAGCAAGCACTAGCAGCCAGGCACCATATATCTAGTTCCTGCAGAAGCTTGAAGGGGTGCCAGGATTAATAGGATGAGCCATTAACTAGCACCAGCCAGTACCTGCACCATTAATCAGCACCAGCCAGCACCATTTGTACAGATAACCTTGGTGCAATGTTCTGTATTGGTGACTCTAGGGCTAAGAGACTGTTTCAGATGCTCAGCGGCATACATGAAGTGAGTGCAGGTGCAGCTCACAGTACTCAGGGGGTTTGTCTTCTAAGGAGGACTTGAAATATTAGTTGAAAAACAAGTCTCTCACAACCCAGGTTTATACTGAGGGATGAGAAAAAGGCACTGACCATGAAGAAGGCTTGAGAGATGAAGATAAGGCACCAAAAAAGACAGGCCATGGCCTGCTTCAGGACAGATTCTGAATGAAGAGCTGTACCTGATACCAAAATATATCTTTGTGGCACCTGGTACTTACATTATGCCTATAGCATTTTTACCATTGTATCTTTCTTCACCAAGTTAAGGTCACTTCTCAGCAGTACCCCAAGAGGATCTCTGAAACATCCTTTGCTAGACAGTGGTATATAACTGGCAGTAGATGGGTCAACTGCAGTCTAGCTAGTATCTGTACAGTAAATCACTTCGGCTCATTGGAGCCCACTTTCCCACAGGTCCCATGATGGAGTTCCATTGCATGTGTCAGAAAAAGCATCATCTTTAAGAGTAGTAAAGTCTGCAAACCAGGACAGGAGAAACCTGGCAACTACCAGGGACAAGCTTCTTCATCAGTCTGTCAAAGATGGGTAATATGCTGTACCTTGCTGTTAGCATTTGGCCAATGTTAGTCTTCCTCTGACGGTTAAGGCTTATTCCACCAGAGCCTAGCTGATACCCCTGGTCTACTTTTGTAGTATGCAGATATCTGAAATCTGAAAAGCAGCTACAAGCAGCAACCCTCACATTATGTGACTCTCAAACATTATGTATTGGACTAGCTGTTAGATCAGATGCCAAATTTGGATACCAGTACTACACTCTTTATTTGATTGATGTAGATGATACCTTCAGGAGGATGGGAATGAAGAGTGGATTGATTGCCGGTCTGCGTTTGGATCCATGCTGCCACTTGGAGAGAATGATTACCTCCTGCAGTAAGTGGGGATCCCTCCATCCCAAATTTGAGACCTCAGTTCCATTTGCCCTTGAATTGTAAGAGATCTGAGGGAGGGTTATGCTTGCTCTGCCCTTCATGTCCTCACATGGGAGTATGAGGTGGCACAGGGCTCATTGATTCCAGGCTTGTGCAAATGAAATGTATGTCTAGAGTGGAATCCGCACTGATTTTAACATTGCGAACCACAGTTATCGTAGGGTAAGCATTCTCTCTGTTGTTTCTGAGTCTTTCACTAAGATCTGCTTTTCATAGAGCTACATTACATCAGTGATTCACAAGACTGTTCTTTTAAAGGTATATTTTTAAAACAAAATGCATGATTAGTAGCTGTGCTAATTTTTGTAATGGTTAGTGCTGTAAGTCAGCTAGAGTAGTGAATTACACTAAGGTGTATGTAAATAGGCTAATGGTGTGCTTCTTGGTTGCCTGCTAGCATTTGGTCATATAGCACACATGAGATGTACCAAAAGCCATACTTATATTTGCCCTGGAGTGGCATATAGCTTTAATATGATCCTACTAAGCATGGCACTAGACTGGAGGACAGGCAGATCTCTATGGAAGGATGTTTGTACCATTAAGGACAAGGATACAAATGAAACATTGTTGCTTTTGGAGCTTTGAAAAAAAGTTTTCCCATCTAAATTGGTAGCAGAATATGCCAACCTGATGTCTTCAAGAGAAGACCAGGTGTTTAAAAGAACACTGACTTAAATGTTAAAGAAAACTTCCACTTTCTGGTAGACCACCTTTTAAATAGTGTAACCAGAAGCTAATTTTGCTTTTAAACATCCAAATAATCTTTTTTAGCAAGGGAGAAATTTATGCAACTGACTGGACAAGCTGCCCTGCACGGGTAGATGGCTGGCCCTTTGTGGAGTCCTGCTAACTTCACTACTTAGGTATAGTGTCCTACCTGCAGGGAACAACTTGAAAGATCCAGACAAAGTAAGTTAGACAAACAGTTGAGAATATGCATTGGAAATTCAGGGTTAAAAATTATCATAGAGGTTGTGTCTTATTACCAGCCCAAGCATTATAAATGCAGGGAATTTAGAAATTTATGATAAGGTAAGAAATGCAACATGAGGACCCTCCTCCACCCAATAAATGTACCTTTGTCCAGTAGTGTCCTTATATATTCTTAACACAATATTTTTTGGTACTTGATGAACCTGACTTTTAATGACATGTTTGATTTTTAGCCTTGTGGAGTCACCACAGGACAGAATTGAGGTAATTTTTTACCTTTGTTTTGTTCTGTTTTTTGACTGAGTTCAACATTTTTCTGCATTTCTTTAGTCAGAAATACCAGATCCTCATTTCACATTGCCACATGAGACTCTAACCTGAGCTGCAAGCAGCTTTCTGTACCGCAGTCCAAATCCATGGCAAAGTTAGCATTGTGGGAGCAAAGGAGAGGACTGCTGCTTGCATTATAACTTTGTGTGACATCCTTAGGTTCTGCAAGGAAGGGAGCTTAGATGAGTACTTTTTAGAAGTACAAGCAAATTAACTCTTTTCTAGATGGAGAGTATCTTTAAACTGTATAAAAAGAAGCTGACTTGCAGCAATGAAACTTAGGTTTAAAAGCTGATTCCACATGCACAATAGCAATTTCTTTTCCTTTTAACTACAAGAACTGGCAGAGTGGCAGATGCAGTTATAACAATCTAATTTAAATTGCACAATGATCTAATGGTAGCAGATGCAACAACCTAATCTAAATCAGTAAAATAAATCTCCATCTCCATATTGATTTAGCTGTGGTTCTGCTTTTGTGCAAAATTGTTTTTGCCAGAACAGTTTCATTTGCTTTTAAGTGTCCTGGACATTAGTCAAAAAGTCAAGGGCTGGGTGAGATCAGGAAAGAAATGTAATCCTGATGGCTTTTACATTAAATCAGGTTCTCCATCATTAATGTAGGCAGATCTTAACAACAGGAGAAATGCTCAGAGAATATTATTTCTAAGGCTTTTCTTTTCAAGAAAATAGATTAAGTGAATTTACCTTTAATACTAACCAGATTTTCCATGTGGTTCTTACACCAGACTTGTTCAGCACAGGGATTGAATGATTCTCCAACTGTTCCCAGAGGAGAGAAATTCCTGTCTTGACATTCAGAGCTGGAAAGCTGAGACTGAACTGTTAGAGCCTTGCATTGCATTAGCCTTCAACTGGTTGGGAATGGCTCTTCCTCTTTTTCTTTGCAGTGGCTCTTTGGATCTGTCTGCACTATCTCACACCCATAGGATGCTACCTAGTGCTCAGCAAAGTGGCAGTCTTTTGGGAAAGATGCTGGAATGTCTTTATGCCCTGTGGGCAGTCAAGCTATTCCAGTGGTGTGTGTCCCTGCCTTCCCCACCCTTAGCCCCATGCATTCTCTACCACCTGAAAAAGCACTGGTAAGGGTGGGTGTTGGATGGCTTGGGGGATTAGGATACGCAAAACTTTTCCACTTGAGGCTGCAAGTCAGTATTCCATGACTAAAGGTTGCAAACATATGACATCTGTGTGATATGTGCAAAGTAAGTTGCTAGTGGAACAAAGCCACCGTGTCCAAACTGCCACTATGTCCCAACTGGCATGGATTCTCCAGCCTTATTTTCACTTTCATTAGAGTGGCTGGAAGCTGAACTCTGTCAATTACTTTTCACTGGGCAGTGTTTCTTTCGGGTCAGGGTGCAGGTACATTGGAAGAAGGGAGGGCAAGCTGGCAGTGCCACTGCTTCCAATGTACCAGCTTGTCATTCTAGCCTTCCACCTCAGCTAAAATTCAATATCTTTCCAGACTGGGAAGGGAACAGGACAGCAAGAGCTCGTCTCCTAGCCATGGGCACAGTGTGCTTATAGTTGGTAGGTGGAGAGAGGGGAGGAGGAGAGGGATAGATGAGGTCACATGACATTGCTTGTCTGGCAGGTGTCTGGGCTCTGAGTAGAGAAAGCAACTGTTCACTATTTTGGGTGAATGAGGTTGGCTGTCCCTGCAAGCAATTCTTTGAGGGAACTTACCCCCAGTATGCAGAGTTTTGCATATTGAGAACCTGAATACATCCACCCACTTGTTGAAGCAGGGAAGTTTCAATGAAAAACTTCAAGGAAATTTGGAGCTGACAGGAAGAAAATTTTTTCCTTGGAGACTCGTTGTTTTGGATCTTTAGATGTTAGCTTCCAGGATTTGTCACTGCCGTCAGTGTCCGTCTGTCCCTGTGCAAGTGCAGCTGTGGAGTCTAGCAGTGAAGCAGGTCTTTCAGTACAGTGACAAATATTTGGGTAAAGGGGGATTGTGACTGGGCCTTTTATGAAAATTAAATAGCCTTTCCACTGATCTGAGACATTTCCTGTATTACTGGATCTGCCTTTTCTGACCCTGAGTCTTTCTCTACGATGTTGGATAAAGCCAAGACCTTTCAGCCTGCCTATGCCGGGATTTTGCCGCTTGCAGAGACTGTGTCAAAGCAGGGGAAGAGTTGTTCAACCACGTGTCAGGATTCATACCACAGTTTGCGGGAAGGTTAGTGGCCTCTACCCTGTTTGACTTAGGTTTTCATGTGTGTGTTTGCATTATGTTCCCTGCCCATCCTCGGCAAACATCCAGATTTGGAGGTTTCCCACTGGCTCCTATGATCTATGCTCCAGACTACTCAAAAGCATGCCCACAAGGAAGTATTAGTGCAGTGTATATAGTGCCTTGCCAATACTTCGTTCTTGGGAGGCTTTCAGTATTTCTACTTTCTCATTTCTTCCTCTCTTCGGTGCATAGAGGTCTTCTGTGAGCAAGTTTTAGTGAGAAGTGTAAGGCTTTGCTTTTCATGAGTACCAGAAGCCTGAAATTGGAAGGTGCAGCGTGCTTCGCAAAGTGGTGGTTTTGGTACAAAGTTCCATAACTTTCTGGAGAAGGAGCTTCTCAGTGAACACCTAAATATATTTTTATGTATTTGCAGCTGTGCTGTAAATTGATGCAGTACTTTCACAAGCAAATGAGACACATTTCCTATCCAAAGCACTTCTAAATACAAGATGCAGGTCAAAGTTTAGAAGAGGGTGAGTATGGAGGGTGCTGTGGGTAGTGAGAAGGAAGGGGCTGCTTGGAAGGGTAAGTATGAAGGAAGAAGAGGAGATAGTGAGGCCAGGAAGTATTAGGCAAAATGGACAACACAGTAGATGGCCACAAACAGGAGTGAGGAAAGAAAATGGTAAGTATAAAACAAGAGGAGTAGTGGGAGGGTTAACTAGGACTGGATTATAATTGTCCTGTAGATGAGGACAAGGATCTTGAACATGATGTGCTAAAGAGAAAGTCAATAGCTGCATTCAAAGAGATGATGTGATGTGAGTGAAAGGAGAGGAAGATGACTTTCGCAGTGGAATTTTGGACAGAGCTAGGCTGTAAAGGGCAGGAGGGCTGAGGAGGAGAGAGAAGGTTGAGAGGCAAGGGGTCAGATGGAAGATTACAGTGATCAAGGAAAGCGATGACCAGTACATGGTAAATGATATTAGCATCTAGATGTATTTATTTTCCTCCATTAAGCAGCTCCAGGATTACAGACAAAACTACCAGAGCCTCTGTCCAAACCCTTATATTAAATAGAAAAAGCAAACCTGGCAGAGATGCAGATGTACTAGGCACTAGGGAAGTTGGTGCCTCTCAGGTAGAGGCAATAACTCTGACCTGCTGCCTACTCTGGTGAATCACTGGTTTCCATATTTTTAATTTTAACTAATCTGTAGCTTTGATTTGACTTCCATTTCATCTTCCGCGTTTCCAGTGGACCTAAAGATGTTTCATCTGTAAGAAGATTTGCTGTTGGCCCTGTTTTCCCGAGGCACTGGTTTCTGTGCAGGGAATCCAGCGAGACACTTGAAACGAATACCCTCTGCTTGTTGTGAGGGTTACATAGAGATCTGCTGGCCTGTCAAAGAGCTCTTGGTCAGTGCTCAGGTGAAGGGAAGGTGGAATTCTCTGTTGTCCCTGTCAGTGGAATTTAGCCGGCTGTTGTCTCAATTGAAATGAATAAGGAATGCTGAATTCCTGAATTATTCTGATCCTTTAAACAATTTGGCAGACTGTGTCTGAAGATTACATATCTGACAACCTTATCTTAGTAGTCAGTGAATATAGGATACAAATATAATGCACAGTTTGCACTCACTGTCCATTGTTCGAGGGCAGGCAGAAAGAGAAGTGGATGCTGGCTAATCTTTTCCTGTCAAAAGAAAGGAAAGGCAAATAACTGCCACCATAGCAAAAAGATGGCATGACCCTGTCACCTCGCTACTGATCCATTCATTCTCCTGCATTCTCAGGATTCCAGCTGTATTTGTGCTTCCACATGCACTGCACTTCTATAATTGCAGAGCTAAACCTTACACGCTATGGGAAGGCACATTCACTCTAGGGTATAAACCCTGAGAGAATCTCTGAGATCCAGGTTAGGGTTGTTGAAACTACTTGGGCAGTATACTATCTTCTTCTATACTACCAAGAGGAGAAGATACCTGCACTTTATTCTTCTTCTTCCACTACTCATAGGAATTAGTGCCAGTCTCTTCCCCCTCTTCACCAAGCTGGACTGTATTCCAGTTTGCAAATGCAGATCCTTGAAATTAGGAGACCTCTGTATCTCTAGGAAATATTCTTCCATTCCTTAGTCACCCTATGCTCCACTGAGACTCAGCTGCTGCTGGATTAGATTTTGCTTCACTCCCCTGCACCAGGCCACTGGTGGTATGTGAGCATGACGTGCCTTCTAGTTACTTCACAACAATTTTAGAAAGTGATACGTGAATTGCTGATCTGTACCATGCATTAGTGGGTTGGGGACAGGAAAGTGAAGCCAGGCTTGTTCATATTTTCCAAAGTGGGTGTGTGCCAGAGCAAGTGTTAGTAAAATCTTGGCACAGTTCAAAGATCCTCTAGCAGTTCTTTTGCAAGAGTCCTTTGGAGTGAGGGGGCTTCTGAGTACCTCAGAAGTCTGCTCAATTTTTACTTTCTTTCTGGGCCGTTGATTTTCCAATATATGACCTAGAATGGGGGTGCATTACTAGCTTTTGAAAACTTCATGGAGCCAGGTAAAGGTTCATAGCATGACATCTGAAGTGAAGAACTCCACAATAAATACCCCCACTTCTCCATGTGTGTGCATCAGCTCTATTTAAGTGCTCTTGAACTAAACACTTTTTTTTAAAGGGATTTTGAGAGCTGCCCTGCCAAAACTGATCAAGTCTCTTTCAGTATTTATTTTGAGAGCTGACCTGCCAAAACTGATCAAGTCTCTTTCAGTATTGAATTACATCAAAAAATCTTTATCTTAGAAGCAGCGTGGGCAATTCAACTAATTTTTTTGCCATTGGTTCTCATTGTTACAAACCAAGTATGGAAAATTGAAGTGTATGAGATGCTTTGGAGAAAAATGAAAAACACTTTTAGCATATGCCACACATGTAATTACAGGGACAGTCTGATAAATAGAAGGGGCAGCATTACCTTGGGGATTAATTTTGGGAATGTAACACAAAATCTTCCTGTTCTCTAATCCCGGCTCTGTTAGTGTCCCATTCTGTGATTGTAAGCATATTACTTAACTTATTTAACCTCCTTTTCTTTCACTGTGTGTACAGTAGGAAGAACCTCCTGGTGTGGCATGTCTGTGAGCAGGGTAGGATCCTTAATGTCTGCACTGTACTTTGAAGATGTCAAAAACTAGGCAAGTTCTTGTCAAAGCTTATGTTTTTTAACTGTTGAAGGAAAGTAAGCCAGAAGGCAGAGTAGATATGCACCTTATAGATTAACTGAATTAGATATATAGAGAGCATAAGTTTTTTGTGAATTTGAGTTTACTTCATCAGATGCTGTGAAAGAGCAAGCATAGAGCAATGTATAAAGTGCATGAGTAGAAGTCTCTTGTTATTTATCATAGTGCCTCCAGCCACTAGAGGACAAAGCTACTACAGTTTGAGAAATGAATTCAACACTGTATTCAGTAGAGGGCAGAAGAGCACACACGAACACAAACTTGTTAAGTTGCTGTCATAGGAAGGTCTAACCAAAAATGTACAGACTCCTAAGAAGAGGTCTGTTCCTGGGCATCTGTTCTTTGAGCCCTCTGGAAAATTAGACTAAATATGGAATCCATGTTTTCCGTATGATGAATCAATCTGTCTTCCAAGTTCAGAATGAACCACAAATGTATCTGAAGAGCTGTGGGAGATACATATGTAGATAGATGGCATCCAGACCTAGACAGTTGTAGTATCTTATGTTTGCAGTGTGTTCCTTTATGTCTCGGCAGTATGATTGCTATATCCCTCTCTACTGAATGAACTGCTTATTGGGAGCCGTGTGTTCCTTATTCAAGGAACTGACCAGCTCGAGCCTATTGTGGCATAACAGTGGTATATACAAAATAAATCAATCAGGACTTGTGGCAGAAGTGATAACTTTTATTAGAACAACTAGATTTTTGCAAAAAAATCTACTTGGTCTAATAAAAGATATCATCTCTGCCATGACCCCTGATTGATTTTGCCACTAGACCAGTATGGCTACAACCTGGATACCATATACAAAATATGCATCTGGGATCCATTCAGCTGTTGTATTTGCAAATGCTCTCCAAAGGCACAGAGTGCTGAGGAAGACTGAGGTGTGCTGCATGTCCCCAGCATGACATCTTTGACAATGAAGACTGGAGATGTGATGAAGGGCAATATGAAAATGTTGGAAAAGGGCTCTTGGTGGTGTCTGACTTTTCAGAGATCAGTCCAGTACATGGTTGGAAAGTTGTACCCTAGGCTGCAATCTCTGGGCTCTTCTTTTTCTGTTCTGTTTCCCTAATGTTTTTTTAGCTGACATGCTCTCCCCTCTTGGAGTCTACCAAACTATTCCTGTCAGCGTAATGATCCCCAGCTGTTGCTTTAGCCCTAGCTATTTTCATACGGAGAAGAGGAGAGGGGTAGGCTGGCTTGTTTACTGCACAGTAATCTAATTCCGTTCTCAAAAACATCTACTGTGAAACTCTCTCCTAGCAGGAAGTAACACAAAAATGAAAGCACAGCAAGGCTCATACATGCAAGAGCAGGGAGATGCAAAGGAGGTGATACATGTAGAAAATGACAGAACAAAGTGTGTGGGGATGCTGTCTTTTGTGTGTATGCCAACAACGTTTTGAGCAGCAGTGATACCAAGTGAAATTTGCAGTGACAACTCCCTTGCCCTATAAATTGAATTTTCTTCAGAGTGTAAACAAGGTAAAGGGCCTCCCACCAGAGGCTGAAAGAGTGATCTATCCCTGTACTGGCAACCACTGTGAAGAATGCTTGGAAAACAGTTGGATGTACCCTGCAGTTATTTGCTGTTTAAAAATAAATTCAGTGTATGTTTACACTTTTAAATGGCACAGAAGTGTCTGATGCTGCAGACTTCGTGCCAATTAGTGAAAAGCTGATGCTTTTCAGAAAATGAACTGGGATACCTGAACTCTGAGAGTCTGCCTGCATTGCATAAGGAACCTA